AAGAAAAAGAGTAAACAAAAAAAAAAATACTGAAAAATATTCAATTATATATATATATATATATATATATATATATATTCTGTGCTGTACTGCAGTTCCATTGGTTAGATTGCTCATGCACAGATTAGTGACCCCAAAGTGGATCCCATTAGCTCAGTTAGCATGATTAGCTTGATGAGATGAGGCTACAATCGTGACTTCATGTGACGTTGGGAGAGCGGCTGTAACGAGTTCCAGGAAAAGACTTCAGTACTAATGCAGAGTAGAGGCCACACAATGGAGGACCAGTTCCTCATCGAGTACGACCGCAGACGCCACTAAAGCAAGATGGCGGTGAAATGACTTCTGAAGAATGTACCGATAAGGTCATCAGTGTTTCAAATGCGTTTGTCAACAAAATGATGACAAAACACATTTGTTGACCTTTTCTAAACAAAAAAAAACGTTTGAAAGTAGGACCTATGGAGTAATGTCCAACGATAATGCTAAAGACTTCTTAAACACAAAGTCTCATTTAAGGATCTGTGGAACCACACGTTGCATGGTCAGGATGCAGCATTAGTTATTATTGTTATTATTATCGTTCATGTTAATAAGCTGTCGTAAAGCTGTCCACCATCTTCACCTGGATGTCCACCATAACGCTAAATAAACTGATAGCTGGAAATAATACCGAGGGTGAAACTAATTTGGATTAGTGGAATGAAGAATAGGAAATGAACAAGTATGTGAAACCCTGTGAGGGCGGGGCCGGTGAGCCGGGTGGAGAGCCGCTGAGGGTGTGATGACACGAGACGCTTGTGAGATCACACGAGGATGCTGGGTGAGACCAGCTGAGTCTGGTGACTCACTGCTGCTTCATGGTAACAACCTTACTGTTGTGTCTGTGACGCACCGGGGCTGGGGTCAGACTACTTACTGCAAAGAATTAAAAGAATTCACCACTCAAATGACGAGTTGATTAACCCTTCCAGGTCCCCACCCTTCCATTGTTAATGGTGCTGTATTCTAACTCTTCAACCTTCACCCAGAAAGAGAGGTGTGACCTGAGTAAACGTTACTTTATGATATTTATTGGTTATGAAACTGTTGTAAACTCATAGTTTCTGTTTCAGTATTGTTCTTTAATGACCATCAGAATTCTGATAAATACATTTTGCACCAGAATTTCAAAAAACATATAATTAAGATCACAAGGAAACAGGAGTCTTCATCGGGTTCACGCTGGTGTTCCATAAAATGTTGAAGTCTGTTGTGTTTGATCACTGAACCCGTTTCTGATGTCATGCTCTATTTGAGCTGCTGGAAACATCTGGCTGTGACATTGCTTCATAGACAGAAACATGCACAAAACTAATAACACCTTATCAGTTATGGAGTTTTAAAGTATCTTGGAAAAACTTTCTATGACAGTGCTGCTTGAGTCAAACAGCATAGATGCAGCTTTTCAAAGGAGAATCATTTTTTGGTCAGTGTTGAGAATGTATTGTGTTAGTGGATCCAGAGGTACATCCTCACCTGTGGGGAGGGCTTCTTCGGCACGTAGATCTTCCACATCTGGGCTTCCCTAGAGGCGGCCTTTTCCAGAAGAAAAGACAGCCTCTGGCGTCCCCAGGGTTCCAAGAACTTCATTCTTCCCCCTGGTTGAGCCTACCTCCCCACTGGACACAGCTACCTGCACAGGGACACAGCACATCATCACACACACACACACACACTCCATACATCTGGGGCTCCAGACCCTTAAAAATTAGGCAATATCTATCTACGTCCCCTCGTCACAGTTGCATTTTATGCTAACAAGTGTTGCCCAGCTAACCAGAGAGTAACTATGATTTTTGCGCCAGTGTGATGAAGGTCTGAGATAAGTCAGATGTTTAATTTGTCAAGATATATTTTGATACTGGGATACAAAGTTACATATGGTATACTAGGATATAAGAAATGTGTCAACATCTCAAATGCCAACTGAAAAGTATGAAACATCTATAATTTTGTGAGTAATCAGTTGTTTTTTCAGCTTCATGATGACGTCAGGAGGTTATAGGAACAAAGGTGAGTGAGGACCCTCAGAGGAAAGGTTGAGGTCATGTTGTTATATTTAGGGCACTGAATATCAAACCGTAGTAACGTTAACGTCACCCACAAGTACACACTTTGTGTTAGCATAAAGTCAACGTTACATTAAAGCCAACTGGCAAACCTATAACTATATGGATGGCTTTGATTCTAGATTGACTAAGATTTGACTGGAACGTCAATCAAATCAGTCACCGTCTAAAGAGTGACAGAGTGAATTGGGCAACTTCCCATCTCTCACTCGGGAACTACCTTGAATCTCCTCCGGGAGTTCCCACTTCTTTGGGAACCACCGGGCCTCCTGAAGCAGGTGCATTACCGAGCATACCCTTCTAGTATTACCCTGAATACGACTACTCCCCGGAGCGGAGCTAAGTTGAAAGGCTAGCGTCGCTAGCTGGTGGGACGTCGCGCACAAATTCGTTCGTGACTAAAAAATAAATGTTGAAGAACGTTCGTCAGTGACGTTGCCCTCGGATGGTAGCATTTAAAAGGAGTTAGGGCGACGACCGCGCTAACTATACAATAGGGGCATTTAAATGGCTGACTCCAACCCAGCAAGTAGACGGAGCCCAAAGCCTTACCTCCCCTGCGAAGCGGAGAACACCACAGTTGGATTTCATCCGGTCCACTCAGTCCGAGGATAAATATGGGGGTGAAATCGGGGACCCGTTCTTCAGTTTAATCATCCATCCTGTTGTCCATGGTGGTTCGTGTTAGGGAAAAGGGGTTGATGTAAAAAATATATAAAAATAAAAGAACGGAATAGACTGATGCGTCTACTTCCGAGGAGGGGACTCAGGGGGAGGGGACTTGGGGGAAGAGGACTCAGCCAAGCTCCGCCCACATACCGGCAGACCGGGAGAACAAAACGAAGCTACCCTCTGTGGAATATTTCCACTATTATTAAGTATCTATACTACTTTCAATGGTGCTCAATTGTGAGTTTATAGTGAGCCTACTTTACCTCAAAATATCTTCGGTGACATCACTTTTAAACTCCAAAAAGTTCATTAGGAACATAATGTAAATTACAATACAATACATTATGTATACATATTAGGAGGAGATATATATATATATATATATATATATATATATATATACTCAACTCTGCTTTGTATCAAAGTGCATTTTCAGACCCACCCAAAGGCAGAAGACACACACATACAGCAATTATAAGCCTAAAATGTATATTAGTTTTCAGTTATCCTTATGAAAGTGGACACAGTTGTGACAGATCTCCATTTTCAACATTCAAAGACGTTATGTCTGACAATTATCATATAGTTGGTTGAAGACAATTGTAAAAACACTGTCAACTAACTAACTACGTAATACTGTGATTGCGTCAGGGTCCGTGCAGGCATGAGCCAATCACAGTATCCCATTTTGGGCGGACAATTTGAACGTACTAAAGTACTGCACGCTGATTGGCTATGGGAAGCATCAATCGGAAGCAGGAGATCGGATCGTGTAACAGATAGGTTGTGTTTCGATTCCAGTGGCGTTTATCGGCGAATAAAACATTGTCTGTCGATCTCAAGTGCAAGCCGCAGGATGGAAATTAAATAAATCAAGTCAAAACGATCCCAAAACATTACGTTTATGCTTTATTTATGCCGTTAAGTCCGAAAGGAGCTGGTTACTATTATTGAGCAGAAGCCTTTTGATTGGTTGGTGCCGTGTGACGCCGGTAAGTGGGCGTGAGCGTTATGAACATCAACAAAAGAGAGAACAAGAGAAAGGAGAAAGAAGAGGAGACGAGAAGGACTGTAAGGCACAGCGAAAGACAACAGATATGTGGATTTAACCTACAATAACAGGTAGAATAACCCTCTTTGTTGAAATTATACTCAATAAACAGAAAACGCGAACTAGCGTTACATGTGTCTCTTCTCCCTGACGTTAACTCGAAAGAGAGAAGGAAGAAAGCGGACGAAATGCAACGGTCGATAATGCGACCTCCGTTTAGCTATATTATAAACTAACAAAAGCTAATCATCGTTAAAAATTAATAAACGTGTCTCTTTTCTTCTTCTGCAAATAAATATATCACCCAATGCACAATTTGGACAGAACTCGACCAGAGCGTTTGAAATGGGTATTTTCCTTTTGCAATATCTGTAAAGAAATTGTATCATTTATAGTGACTGATTAAGTTTATTTTAAGCGCGTTTAAACGCTTTAAGATTAAAAAGAACTATGTTTTACATTCGTTTACACCGAGGATTTGCTTCCTGCAGCTATATGTTGTTCTGCTGGTCTGTTATTGGTATCCTCCGATCCGTCCGCTGTACACAGCACAGCTTTTCAACGCTATTAACTCTATATTCTCACATACAAACCACCACAAGCATACTCTGAGAAGAACACATTATTTTCTTTTATTAATAATGGTGTCGAACAGCGCAGTTTGATACAGATTTACGGAATCAGGAACACTAAAACACACAGCCCCTCCCCCCGCTCCTTTCAGAGAGGATTTAAAGACGTTAGCTAGCTGCGGTCACCGTTAGCCTCCTCGGTTATGATCATCAACTAAAACGATAAAAAGAGGGTCTCCGGCCGAGAGACTGGTGTCTATTGTGTGTTTAGGTTGTTAAGTAACAGACAGAACCTCGGGGGAAAGCTGCTGTTGTTGTTTTCTTCGGTCAGAGGACCGAGAAGGCTACTGGAGGAAATCTGACACCGGAGCTCAGCTGAGGGCTGTGGGCGGGGCTCTGAGCTGTGACCCCCCCCCCCCCTTAGAGCGGAGAGCACGTAGGCCAACAATAAACAGCACAGTAGTAAAGCAACAAAGATATATTACCCAGAACATGTTTTTTTTCTGAGAAAAACCCATTTGTTTGTGGATAGTTGTGGTAGTGCAGGCCTTTCTTCTGATTCACTATTCTGGATTACAGTTGTGTGGATTGTATTTTGGACTGGTCAGAGAACTTGACATGAATACTCCGTTTCTTGCAGTGAAGATACTGTGGTAAAAAAAAACAAGAGATCACTTCCTCCAGCGCAAGCCCAGACATGGATGCCTACAAGCTGATGAAGGAGCTGCGGGTGAATTATGAGCAGGAGGCTTATTATCGTCCCAAAGAGACGGGGCTGAGGCTCATCGAGTCCACTGAAGAGGTGAGCACATTTGGGGGGAATTGATCATTAATCCACAGTAGTCCGTACATGGGAAATCCTCTTCTGAACATTGAACACATTTGAAAGTTTTCGATCGACCCTGTTTATCTATTTGTAAAACTATAAAAAAAGAACCCAACAAAAACAAGCCTGATCTGCTTTTTAGTGCGACTAATCCTCTTCAAGACTTTTCTGCCAAAACATGGGGAAGCATCAGAGCGTGTGGCAGAACAAGCAGGTTAATCAACAACACGTCTTCGTTTTCCAGGATGACAGCCGGATCTCGGCCAAGTGCAGAAACGCCAAAGTGGAGGACCTGTGGAGTCTGACCAGCTTCTTCGGTTACAGCACGCAGACCTTCGTCCTGGCCGTTAACCTGCTGGACAGATTCCTGGCCATGATCCGGGTACGAGCAGCTCACACCCGATAGGACCGGACATGGGACACTTTAGCTCTCGTTTTTTAACGGGACCTGGTGACACATTTTGGCAGCTTATGCAGTTTTTAAAAGCCGGAGTACAGGGTCTATAAAAAACAATATCTCGTTTGTAAATAGTCTTTATTACGTCAATTACCTCCTACTTGCTTAATCAGTTTGTTACTGATCCTAAATAATGAATCAAATTCAGCGAGTCTAATTGTTTCCTTGATCGTAATAAATAAATACATAAATAGTTGGTTTGAAGTAACCAGGTCCAGCTCAATGATGTAAATCTTGTACTCAACCAGCCGTCCTTTCAACCAGTCTCTTACCCACGTCTGTCCCCCCCCCCCCCAGGTCCAGCCCAAGCACCTGTCCTGCGTCAGCGTCAGCTGCCTCCACATGGCGGCCAAAGTGACGGAGGAGGAGTGCGACCTGGTGCCCGCCGACGAGCTCATCCGCATCGGACAGTGCCGCTTCACCGCGTCAGACCTCTGCCGCATGGAGAAGATCGTCGGCGAGAAGCTCGGCTTCAAGTCCAACGCCGTCACCGCCTTAACCTTTCTGCACTTGTACCACCAGATCGCACTATTGCACTCCGCCGACAGGTGAGACCACCGCTTTCACATTTAGTTTAATTTCTATGAAAACACAATCATGTTTGGGGGCGCATTCAGGATTTACTTCACTTCTCTGGATGTCGACCTAAAATGTTCAGATCGGCATGCGAATGCAAAGATTTTTCCCATGATTTGATTGGCTGAGCTTCTCCACACCGCTGCTTGTTTGTAACAGCTATTCCAGCTGATGTAGGGCAGCAGTCAACTATCATTGTCTGAAGTGTACTGATAAGATTCGCTGTCTGGCACCTACACCTCACCCGTGCATAACCCTGACCTGGCGTTTTCAATATGCTGTGGTTCAAAACTCAACATAAACTCAAATCAAGTTTGTTTTTTACGTTTTCAGTTTGGGCAGTCTGTAAAGGGCTTACAAATCTCATGATGCGATGATTCAGAGTTAATGAAAGTTCATTCTGTTTGTTATGGATCGTTGACATCGCTGACCTGAAAACACACCCTAAACCTGACTGTGTGTGTGTGTTTGTCTGAACAGGAAGGAGACTCTGAGCCTGGAGAAGCTGGAAGCTCAACTCAAAGCCTGTCTGTGCCGGATCTCCTTCTCTAAAGCAAAGGTAGGAACACAGGATCACAGCAGCTCAGCAGTCTAGCTGAGAAATGAGTGGTTTTTTTTTTAAACGTCGCCGTTAGTTTGACAACACTGAAACTCAAACGCTTCCTGTCTCTTTTGTTTGTCCCTCCAGCCGTCCGTCCTCGCCTTGTCCCTCCTGAGGCAGGAGATCAAAGCCGCCCAGTCGGAGGACATGTTGGAGATAGCTCATCACATCCAGAGACATCTAAAGGTAAACACCACGTTATTACACAACAGCTGCAGGGAGGGAGAGCAACACCTGTGGAAAGCTCCAGTAACGGAACGTTCTTTTCCACAACAGCAGCTTGGCGCTCATTCATTTGAGAGCAAATGAGAGTTTAAAGGGTTTCTATTTCTTTTTCCACTGCTGGTATCGGCTCAACATTTCTTGGATCAGTTACAAACAGGAAACCTTATTGTAACTCCACTAACATGAACATGACAACAAACCGTGTTTACCAGCAGCGCAGCCTGCAGGCTTATTACGTGGTGGGGACATTTCTGGCTTTATTTAAAGGGAAGTGAACACAACGTAGAATTGTGTGTAATCATATTCTACAGAAGCGGGGGGTGGGGGGGGTGTATTTATTCTTGGCTTGGCTCTGGTCCACATCATTTTTTTTCTCGATGGCTCTGGTTATGTAACCTGGTGTCTTGTGTTGTGACGGCTCGACTCAACACGTCAAAGGCAATGAGGCTTTTTAAGGCTTGTAGACACGCTCTACCTGATTACCTGAAGGAAGATGTAAAATCTTCAGATTATATTGTAAATTGTTGCCTAACTTTAAATGTCATGTTACAGCATTTCATCGTAAATTGTGTTATCTTAGGTCCTGCTACGTTGCTGACACAGTGATACTGTGATCCCACATCCAATCGCTTTAAAGTGTTGCACGACCAGCTGATCAGGTTTCAGCTGGTCAGTCGCTGTTTTAAGCTTGTTTCTCTTACCCTCCTGACCTGAAAAAAGAAACCAGGTTACCGTTTACAGGAACATACCGTTAAGTAACAAGATTATTTCAAATGCACCGATTTCCGTGAGTGAACAGGGCAGAGGGCCGAGCACCTAAACTGAGCTGCGTGGTTTGGTTTCAGATTACGGACGGCGAGCTGCTGCTGTGGAGTGAGCAAGTGGCTCCGTGTCTGTCGGACTACGCCTCGCCTCAATGCAGCAAGCCCAACCACAGGAAGCTGCAGTGGATCGTGTCGCGGCGGACCGCCCAGAATCTGCACAGCTACCGAACCGTCCCAGAGCTGCCCACCATCCCAGAGGGCTGCTGGGATGAGAGCGAGAGGTCAGAGTCCCACACACACCTGAACAACACACCAACACTGTGAGAGCCTCACACACACCTGAACAACACACTAACACTGAGAGCCAAGAACAACAATCAGAACAATATGTGATGTAAATAGGAGTCAGTTGGAAGGACTGAGAATCTGACCACGTATTCAGCACAGTGCTTCAAAGTAAACTCTATCTGACTCTCGTTTCTTTGTGACGCAGGTGTCGGCCTGATATGTGACGTTAAATACCAAACAATCCTGAAGACAATAACAGAGGCGTTCCAATTTAAAAGATACCAGACGCACCTTGTGTGTCACACACACACACACACACCAAATGCATTCTTTACAGTGTGCTGTGTGTGTCGTAACACTCCTGGGGCAACACACAAGTTTCTGATGTGTTGTAAGAACACGTCTCTCTCACACGCACACACACACAGCTAGTCCCACTGACGTCACCAGAGGGCCTCGTCTTTATGTAACATGGAACTTTTGGTGTGTGTGTGTGTGTAAAAACAAACACAGGAGGAAGTGAAATGGGGAGAATTTCCGCAGCTGACTCCTGAAGACACTGATCATTAACAGCACAAACAAAAAGCTGCCGACTGTCAAATGTTTGTTTGAATCTTTTTTTATGACGTTGGATTCACATCTGAACTTTCAGCTCTTTAAACAGAATGCTGAGCCCCAACATGAGATCAGCTGACAGATTGCAGCAGTCTGCTGCACTAGTTTGTCACGCATACATAAATGTTAACATGCTCTAGAATCATTAGTCATTCAGGGGCAAAGTGATGCTTGTTTTCACTAGTTCATCTGTTCCTCAGTCAGTTTGTATTTCTTTATTCATAGTTTCTTTATTTCTGTCTGAGAAAAACACTTTTTAAAATTGTATTTACTTTAACTTGTGGTTACTTGACAAAACAAAAATCTATAACAAGAAAATGCCATGTGCTTTTATTGACTTGAACAAGAAGAACTTTGACTCGACTGATGACTAAAATGATTAGATTATCAAAACAGTCCATTTTCTGTTTGCATGTGAAACATCAGGAAACCTCTGACGAGAGAGAGAGAGGTCATGTGATCACATTAACCAACAGTACCCTCCCTGTGTGTCTCTGCAGTGAGGACTCCTGTGAGGACGTGATGAGTTCGGGTGAGGAGTCTCTTAGCAGCTCTCTGGGCAGCGACGCTGAAGGGCCCTTCTTCCCTCTGCACCTCCACTGCCAAAAACACCGCCAACACCTCCACGCCTGACGCCTCCCACCGACTTGCCTCCACCTCCCAGTCTCCCCCTTTTCCTCTAACTGCTTTACCCCGAAGTCTTTAATTTATTGTTTAATAAGCTCTGGTGCTGAGGGGGGAGCAGTCCGATCTCCTCCTGGTAGAGTTTTAGTTTGTAGAGATGTCACATTCCAGGACACAAACATTTTAAAGTCGGGCGGACCTCCGCTGGGGTCCCATTTAGAAACTGCTCAACCTCAGACCAGAAACAGTTCACGTTGTCAAGATAATTTGCCAAAATGTTGTATTTATTTAATAGAAGAAAGGTGGATTCTTTTTGACTGTTATTGATGTAAGAATGCTTTTAATGAGGGGTTTTACTGCTGTTCGGAAGCTGAGCGCGGCTGTGGTCAGTGATGGGGGTGTAAACGTTGAAGTTATGAACCCTCCACATGTTCTGGATAACAGAAAGTAAAAGCAGTTAGTGAGCACGTCTGCTCTCCTCTTCTGTAGTTCACTTTCATTTGCACACTTTTCTTTTATCTCATGTGAAGTATTGACCGGAGGCCTGAGTTTGTGTCAAACTGTTCACCGAGTGTTCAGAGCTCGTGCCTTGCTCAAAGGGAGCGGAGGTTCAGAGTCGGACCTCGCCGACACCACAGGCTGTTCTCTCTCTCTCT